TGTTTTTGCTTCAAATTTCGAAATTATACAATTTAATTTAGATTAAAAACTGCTCATGTTGCATGTATGCAGCATCTTTGTTTGGATCATGATTAAAATGCAGTGGTTGCCTCTAATTTTAAAAGGAAAGAGCACAGACAAAGCCTTAGTTTGTTTATATGAAGAGATTTATTTTAATTGTTATTTATTTGATTTGGGGCTTGTTTTAAAATTTTCATTTAGTTTTGTTATTTACATTTACATTATATTTAAATGTTGTCATTTAGCAGATGCTTTTATCTAAAGTGACTTACAAATGAGACAATAGAACCCATCAAAACCAACAAAAGAGCAATAATATGCAAGTGCTATATTAGTATATTATTATAGTGTTATATTTCAATTTCACAAAGAAATGTGGAGCATTTTGTCCAATCAATAATAAAAGGACACATTTAATTTAGTTTGTCTTAAATCTCATTTTATAAAAAAACAAAAGAAACAAACCGTGAATCGAATCCGGAAATCAAAATCGTGAATCGAATCGTGAGTTGAGTGAATCGTTACATCCCTAATATATATATATATATATTAGGGGTGTAACGGTACACAAACATGACGGTTCGGTACATACCTCGGTTTTGACATACCGGTTCGGTATGGTTTCGGTACATCAGGAAGAAAAGATACTAAACATAAATTGTTTTTTTTTTTTTATTGTTTTGTTTTTTTTATTGAGTGTTTCACTGAACAAATTACTCTTTCTTTAAATAAATTAAATTATAATTAAAATTTTCTTTAAATCTACCTCATAAAATAATAACTAAAAATCTACCTCGGCTTCTGCTCTAAACTATAGGGAGCCCTTTTACATTGCTATAAGGTTACAATTAACAACAGAGCCCAAACTTAAACTTAATTACTATTTATTTTGAACTATAATAATCAACACTCAAATAAAAAAAATTGCACAGTTTTTAAATTAACTTCTAAATTATACAATTTCTATTTGTTGTTGAAATCTAATCATTTACACATTGGCTGTCATAACTTGTTTCATAAAAGATTTATTGAAATATACATTAAGTGATTAAGACATCACTAAAGTAAAATATTATGAGTAGCTATATAGTCTATATCTCGTGAAATGCTCTTCTCTAGACTTAATTTCACACAGCGAGCTATCACGCCTCATCAAAGAGTGCGTACCGAACCGAAAGACCTTCAGTAGGAATACGTGTACCGTTACAACCCTAATATATATATATATATATATTATATATTATATTTTATAATATAATTTGTTTATTTTATATATTTATTATATATTTAAATAAAAAATATATTCCACTTTATATATATATATTCCACTTTAAAATGTTTTTACGTATATAAATATAAATATATATATATATATATATATATATCTAATATATATATATATAATTTTCCCCCCCTTTTTGTATTAGTTAGCCAATCAGAACAGAGGTCTTTTACATATCAAAGTCCTAAAGGTATGAGCAGCACATTTGAGGTACTCATGAAGGTACGATCGTGCAGTTAGGTACAATGCGTTTGAAATCCTTTTAGTGACTGTATATGTATAAATCTCACCATATGTTGCATGTAAATGTCTACGTTTACCTACATTTGCAATGGACCTGATTCTGTCTTTTCTCCACAGTTTACCACAGCTTATAGAGATTGTAGGACGCATCAACGTCAGCTCATCCACCTGTGTGCACGAGTTCTCCAGGTTCTTCTGGAGATTATGTCGAACGATTGGGAAAATCTTTACCAACACTAAGGTAGGACAGGTCAAAGACATTTGCCGTACAGTAATCTCTCTCTAGCACCTTTTTTCATGTACTTTTTTTTATATTTGACCAAGTGAAGTAGCTAAATAAAGCTTGTGCTGCAAACCATTCCAACAGTTTCAGTTTAATGTAGATGTTATTTTCCCCTCATTTTTGAAGGTAAAACCTCAATTCCAAGAAATCCTGCGGCTATCTGAGGAGAATGTGGGTGAGTGACTGTTCACTTAACCAAAAATAATACTCCCGCTGTCAGAGGAGGTGCTGGGAAGAGAGCACACACACACACTCTTCGTCTCTATATCTCTTTCCCATGCTAGAGGCTTGTGTGTCAAATATGTGTTTTCACTCTTCATGGGATTTTGAAATGGAGCTTTTTCTTTCATTCTTTGAATGTTTGTTGAGTTAAAAAAAGTCTATGGTTAAAGTATCTGCCAACAAAACTGGGCATGTTGTATCATTTAATGGTTTGAATTGAATTTTGCTAAATTATTACCAGATGAGTTGAACTAATTCTTAACCGAGTGTTCAGTTATATGTTTAGAGATTGTAACACAGATTGTGTCCTGCAGACGCCTCCGCAGGAAACGGCATCCTTACAAAGGCTACGGTGCCGATCTATGCAACCGGAGTCCTGACGTGCTACAATCAGGTAGGAGCTTCATTGTACGCCAGGTGTGTGATGTCTCAATTCAGAAAAAGCCTCTCTCTGATGAAGTTGTTCGTTTTAGGAGGAGGACCGTAAACTCTTGGTTGGCTTTCTTGAGGATGTCATGACCACGCTCTCTCTCTCGCATGCTCCTCTTGACAGTCTAAAGGCTTCATTTGTAGAGCTGGGGTGAGTGTCTGTCAGCACTGTTAAATCTGCATTTCTGCATAAGATTAATTAATCACTGCAAATATAAAACATTATATTTATCATTTTAAATAATTTGTATTTTTGCATGCATCATTTAAATGTAATATTTAATAGTTTTACAATTATTACAAAATATTTATAATTTTTTCACACATTTAAAATTATTATCATTTTATAATTATTTTAAGAATTTTATTTCAAGTATTTTTTATTATTTCAAGTGTTTTAAATATATAATCATAGTTTTAAAATTATTAGAAAAATATAATTACACAAAATGTGTTTTACACATTTATATTAATTTGACATTTATAATTGTATTTTATGATTTCATCGTGTTAACATTTGGAAAATATAGTTTATTACACAATTTTTACTTCTTATTGATCGCAAGTAATTCTTGCAATTTCGACAGTTTCATCTACAGCGGTGGCCAAAATTATTAGAACACTATTATTTTCACCAGCTAAAAATAGTTTTAAGTAAGGTTTTTCTATCCTTTGCTGTAGTGTGTTTCTCACTTTACAGCATTTTTACACAAGTGCCTAAAACTTTTCACAGTACTGTAGCTTTGCAGGTAGGTTTCTTGAAGCATCTTGGAAACGTTGCCACAGTTCTTCTGGATTTAGTCTGTCTTGAAACCATTTTTTAGCTGGTGAAAATACTAGTGTTCTAATAATTTTGGCCCCCACTGTATATTAGCCAGAAAGCTAATATTAGCTAATATTAAAGGAATAGTTCACCCAAAAATGAAAATTCTGTCTTTAATTACTCGCCCTCATGTCGTTCCAAACCCGTAAGACCTACCTTCATCTTCGGAACACAAATGAAAATATTTTTGATTGATTCCATAGACAGCAGCGTAACTGGCACGTTCAAGGCTCAGAAAGGTAGCAAGGACAATACAGTATAGTCCAGAATTTTCATTTCTGGGTGAACTATCCCTTTAAATGTTTAAGTTAATATAAACTTAATACTAAAGTTTTAAATGTAATACTGAAGGTTAAAAGGTTGACAAGCGGAACCCATTCTAAACCGAATGTCACATAAAACCAAATGTTTACATTTGCAAGACATAAACACTCGCATACCGGCCCGAGGCCAGTAGGTCATCCTTGAAGTTGAGCCCCGCATAAACCTACAATAATGATTTAAGCACTTGAGTACAAAAATAACATGTCCCAATTTGTTCGACTCCTGTATCCTGATGATCTAATGCAGCAGACGTTTCATGCTAATGGCACTCTAACTGACTAGAAGATCAGGTTTAATAGGATCATCAACTGTCATTTTGTGATTACCCACTAAAACCGTTACTTCCTGTCTCCAGGGCAAACCCAGCGTATCATGAGCTTCTACTGACGGTGCTTTGGTATGGAGTGGTCCATACATCTGCACTGGTACGCTGCACCGCTGCACGCATGTTCGAGGTAAGCCCTCCCTCCAATTCCCGCTTCAAACATTGACATGCATAGTTAACTTAGCCATAATGTTAATAAATACTTCCAATGTCCTTAAGTTTATGTTTAAAGACATTTAGCATCCTCCAGGCCAGTCAAATGATTAGTTTTATTACCTTATGCTTTGTTTTGAATGCAAATTTGCTGTAATATGATGTTAATGGTTGGTGTGAGTTGGTAAACCTGTATTTTCAGAGCTCTCCACACTCCCTCTAGGGCCCCCTTGTGCCTTGTCATCCCTGTTACCTGTCAGATCACTGAATGTTTACTTGTATTTAAAGTCGTTGCAGCTTTAAAGCATCCGTACGTCTTTTGCACCACAGCACGCTTGCTATTGCCATTCAAAAATGATGTAACGACCCCCACATTTCATCCCCTCACCCCGTTGTAAGTCTGTAATGAAGGTTCGAGGAGTGTTCAGAAACTCTTCCATGTGAGAAACCCCCTTCTCCTCATCTGTGGTCGTAGCTTTAGTTAAATTTGCCTGGCCTCTTTAGCCCTTAATTTTTATTTCATTTATCTGTGTAGCGCCTCCTTGGGCTTCTGTCATGTTTTTCGTTGTATGTCTGCGCTGTTTTTTAGTTTGTTACCGTTGTTTCTTTTTTGTGTTCTTTTGTTTCTCTCTATCTCTTTCTCTCTGCGGTGTTCCATGACACTGTGCTCGCTCTTTCCATGCATCCTGTGTGACATCACCCCTGCTCTGACCAATCAGCTGTTGGTGAAGGGGGTGAATGAAACTCTAGTAGCTCAGAGAGTTGTTCCAGCACTTATCACTCTCTCCAGTGATCCTGAAATGTAAGTCTCCTCCTGCCTCCTTCATCCATGCACCTCCCTCTGCCTTGGTTCTCTCAGGAGGCCACAACTTTATTAGCCCCTCCTCCAGCGAGCACCGCCTACCTGAGCCAAGATTTAAGTGTTTCACATTAATATGTCGAAAGAAATTAATGTCGTGTTAAAAATATTGCAGTTGAAACAATGAAATGTCACCTTAAAATAAAAATAAATAAATAGATGAGGATCATGAATATTTTCTCCATTATGATTTTATCATTTTCATCACATTGAACCAGGTTCTCATTACCATAACGTGGGGAGAAAAATCGAATTCAAATAACTAATGCATTAAAGGGTTAGTTCACCCAAAAATTAAAATTAGGCTGCATTTAACTCACCCCTGAGGTATCCTAGGTGTATATGACTTTCTTCTTTCAGACGAATCCAGTCGGCGTTATATTAAAAATTGTCTTTGATCTTTCAAGCTCTATCATTGCAGTCAGCGGGTGCTGCATTGCTTCAGTCCAAAAGAAGTTAAATAAAAAGCGTGAACAAAGCAGGGGGTGAACAAAGGCCTTCTGTAAGCTTTTTATTTAACTTCTTTTGGACTGAATTTTCATTTTTGGGTGAACTAACCCTTTTAATGAAAGCAAACCTCTTTGGACTTTTTTTTTAAACAACAAAAATACAATATATAAATAATCCTACCATGATTTATACATAAAAAATTGTATGTATTATTTATTTATTTTGCATTAAAATAGGCTTCTGACATCCAGAGGGTTAACTGTGCTTAATTGCTATGAAAATAGTCTCATAATGCCAAAAAATGAATTTAATTTTCTTTACTTTATTTTTGTTTTATTTTGAGTCTGGAATATGGCCCTGGCATTATTTATATATAATTTTTGTATGCATTTTTATTTGCATTATAGTAAGCTTCTAACCAACAGAGGGTTAAATGTGCTTAATTGCTACAAAACTATTGTCATAATGCAAAATAAATCTAAAATAGGCTTTTTTATTATAAAAATGTATATAGTTTTTTTATTATTTTGTATTTTTATTTTATTCTCTTATTTTGAGTTTGAAATATGCCCCTATATATACATATTTATTTTTGAAATATACAATTGTTAACCATCATTCCGGTTGATAGAATTATGCCTTGTATGTAAATCATTTGTAATTCATGCTAATGTTATGTCAGTGCGAAAGTGTATTTCTGGCTCTCCTGATGAAACCAAGGCTTGAGAGACAGTGCTTATTTTGTTTATGTCTCACGTGCTCTGTGTACTAACATCCTTCGTTCAGGCTACACTAATCGCCGCATGCTTGGAGAAGCTGCCTGCTTTCCACAATCCATTCATCCCTTCATTCAGCCCATTTGTCCATCCATGTGGCCCGTGGCATGTTTGGCTGCCAGTCACTCTTTCCCTAGGCCCCCTAGCACTACAGTCTCCTCTACCACCCCCCTCTCCTGCTAGGTTCTTGGCCATTTGTGTTTGACCCCCCGTCTCTCTTTTGCATCTGACTGGTTTGCAGCTGGTTCTTCGAGGCATGAGCGAAGCCTTAATTGACAAGCGAGTAGCCCCGGCCCTTATTACCTTGTGCAGTGGTCCTGAATTGTGAGTTAACCGCAGCTATGAGATACTTTAAAAACCAAATATCTTGTCTCCTCTCCGCATTCTCTCGGTTGGATTTTTTTTTTTTTTTTTTTACTTTTCTGGGGGGGGGGGAT